TGTTTGAGGCTGTCTCTGTCCCACCCCTCCTTCCCATCACGGCAGCCTCTTCACTTTCAAGACCTTTGGGTGGTGATTGTTTTAACTATTTACTTAAATATTATTTGTTGACTCCTGTGTCCCAGCCTGGTCTTAAATTACCACCAAGGTGAGGATGACCTTGAACTGCTGCTGCTTTGCCTGCTCCCACCTTGGCTGAGTGCCGGGAGGCAGAGGCAGGTGGATCTCCGTGAGTTTGAGGCCAGCCTGGTCTACATGAGCTAGTTCCAGGACAGGCTCTAAAAAAACTACAGTGAAACCCTGTCTCGAAAATCCAAGAGAGAGAGAGAGAGAGAGAGAGAGAAATGGAAGAATAGGCACAAATCACGAGTGTACAGCTCAGTGAATTATTACAGTGTAACTGTACCCAGCATCCAGGTCAAGGGTAGAACAAGAGCTGAGCACGTAAGTCAGCTGGTAGAGTGACTAACATTCATGACCTCTGTGCTCAGTTCACAGTGGCACATAAACCAGGTGTGGTGTCTCATGCCACTAGTCCTAGCACTTGGGAAGTGGAAGCAGGAGGCTCGGAAGGTTATCTTCAGCTACATAGTGCACCTGAGGCCAGCCTGGGCTACAGGAGACTGTCCTGCAGCAAAACAGCACATTCCCAAGATGGCAGAAGTCTTGCTGTATAGTGGTGGCACACACCTTTAATCCCTGCATTCCCGAGGCAAAGGCAGGAAGATCTCTTTGAGTTCAAGGCCTGCCTGGTCTACAAAGCCAGTTCTAGGACAGCTAGGAGTGTCACACAGAGAAACAGAAGCAAAACAAAACAAAAAGATTTGCAAAAGTCTCCTTGATTCCCTTTCGTCACCACCCACACCAAGGTTAACAAAGCTTTATCTTGTGTCCTATAGATTCTTTTGCCCTTCAAACACCCTTTGTGCAGTCTCTCGTCCGCTGTCATTCAGCCTTGTTTGAGAGATTTAATAAATCTGTTCTTTGTAGTGATGGTTGACAATTCTCATATTTACTTTTTTGGTCCTGGGGCTTAAGTGCACAGTATTTCGTTATATGGCCATGCCTTGATTCATAAGCTCTTCTGCTGGTTTGGGGTGTGTCTCCTTGGGGGCTTTACCTGACACTGCACCTGTGAGCGCATGCACACACTTCTGTTGAGGTAAGGATGTAGACTTCCTGAGCCTTGCTTGCTGGCCATTAATCTTAACTAGATGTGACCAAATACATTTTCCAGTGGTGCTTGCTCTTTGTCCTCACATGAGCCTTGTGTCACTAAGTGTTCTGGGTGCCCCCCATCCTTCCTGACACTGGGGTGTTTTGCTTCTGGTGAGTGACATTTTCATTGTGGTTCTTGGTTCTGGCTTTTTTATGTTAAATTCCTTTTTGTTTTCTTTGCTTTGTAAGACTATGAGCTCCCAGAGGACACAGACTGACTTCTATCCCAAAACTTGTATGAGGGCTAGTTTATCTTGAGCATTTAATGGAGCTCGGATAAATGAAGCGTGTGTCTGTGGTATCTATGTGGTCAAAGATGATGGGGGTGGGTGATTAAACATTGTGCAAAAGAAGATTTGTTTCAGCAACTATTTACGTGTCTCCCACGTGCCACGCGCTGATGAGAGGTGCAGTTCTTACCATCTTGTGTTTTTTTGACTGTGGTGATGGAAAAAAAACAAATACGTGAATATTTAATTGAGCATATAATGAGTACCGTGGAGGAGGTGACTTGGCTACTGTTTGGAGAGAATAATGGGTTGTGAAGGAGTGGTTTTTGATAAGGTAGTTAGGGAAGGCCTCTTCAAGGACTGGGGTGAAGCTCAGTTGGTGCTTGTCCATCGTGTCCCAAGTCCTGCATTGGATCCCAGCACCTCAGGAAGTTGGGCACTGTCCTTTCAGCTCCCGCGAGGTGGAAGCTGGAGGAACCAAGATTTTCCTCCGCTACAGAGTGGTGCAGGGGAAGCCTAGACCACATGAGACCCTGCCTCAGAACAAAGCAAAAGGAAACTATCCAAGAAAACAAAAACCAAAAGAAGAGAAAGGTCTCTTTGACAAAGTAATACTTGAGCTGTTTTGGGCAATTTTGTTTGTTGCTGTCTCTTCAGTTTGAAAAGATGAAAAATCAAGGTGTTCAAAGGCCCTTTTGAAAGAAGCAAAGGCAAGGAGGGTGGCCTGCAAAGTACTTGTGTGTTTATGGATGAGCAGAGGGGTGTTGCCCTGGTGCTTCGCAGTTGAGTGAAGTACGGTGGAGGGAAATATGACAGCTGTGGAGCTCTGGGCACAGAGAAAGGTGTCTGAGCTAACACCAGCAGAGAGGCCCAGCACACTCGCTCAGGCTACGCGGCATTCTTGGAGGCAGTTTAAGTGCTTTGTGTTCTAGATGGGCCATTACGCTGATGTATGTGATGTCATGGGAGGTGTCCTGTGTTTAGTCTGTATTTCACAAAGCCTGCTTGGTACTTGAGAATCAAAGCATAAGTGTCCCGGGACTGCAGAGGAGCTCTGACTAATCGTTTAATGTCCTTGTTTGGAAAGAAATACGGACAGTACCATTCCACAATGAGGAACTATTTTTCCTTTATTAAGATGAAACAGTAAGATCATTGTTAATCCCATCTATCCCTCCTCTTTTTGGAATAAACCAGAATTGAAGGACTAACTCTCTGTCCTGAGACTGTCCTGGGTAGAACTCACTCTGTAGACCAGATTGGCCTCAAACTCAGAGATCCACCCGCCTTTGTCTCCTCAGTCCTGGGATTAAGTTAAAGTCATGTGCCTCCATGCCCAGCTCCTACCCCCTCCCTTTTAGTTAATTTAAGACAGTTAAAAAATTACTGGGAATTTGTACACTGAATTCCCAAACTTACCCATTCATTCTTCCTTTCCCTCCTTGCCCACCCTCTTTTCTGGTATAGGAGATCAGACCCACGGTCTTGTCCATTTTAGGCAGTGTTCTACTGTTGAGGTACATCCCTAATCTGCTACCCACAATTCCAATTTAACCAAATAACCCTTCATTTCTGTTTGTTACATCCTAGATTTACCCACATCATTCATGTTCTGTTTGTGATTTTACCTATGTTTTTAAAATTAAAAATTTTTAAAATACCGTGTTTTTCATGTTAATCGCTAGTATAAACTATGGACTTTGGGTGGATAGGGTCATTCTAATAAATTAGTGCTTTGTGGGGGGGGAGGATGCTGACGTGGCAGAGGCTGTGTGGAAAAGGAGAACAGTGTGTATGGGAACCCTGTGCTTTCTGCTTAAACCAGGTGTGGTGGCCTGTGTCTCTAATCCCAGGACAGAGAGGCAGGCAGATTCCACTTAGTTCAAGGCCAGGACAACCAGAGTGCCTAGTGAGACCCTTTCTCAATAACAGCAAAATACTGTAATCTCAGCACTTGGGAAGCAGAGGTAGGAAGAGGCCAGCCTCAGCTACATGGTGAATTAGAGGCTAGTATGGTTTGCATGAGACTCACCCTAAAAATAATTTAAAAGAAGTAAAGTAAAATATCAGTGGGGTGTCGTAGCACAGGCTGGACAAAATTGCAAGACCCCAAGTCGTCAAAAAAAAAAAAAAATCAGATTTTGAAAATTAAATCCAGAGGCAAAATGGTTGCCTTACAATTACAAGGCTCTGGGTTCAATCCTTAATTATTTGATTTTGCAAAATCCTTAATTATTTGATTTTGCAAGTGCTTATACCTTAATTTACTGCCCCTCACTGGATATTTCTGTCTCCATTCGTGTAGTGCTTATGTATAGCTTCTCCTGAGAAGTTTATTTCCCAGACTATATTCTTGATTATAGCAACACTAGCCAAACAGTTGTAGGTGGATTAAGGAGGGAATTTGGGTTGCATTTAGCGTAGCCCTGGTCAGTGGTCATAATTGGCTGCTGTAGTACCACACTGTTGTTAGAGGCAGTGTGACCTGGTGGTGACTGTGATTTGTTTAAATACCTGTTTGTGAGATGCACTTCCCACACTTTCCCCATTCAAGCCTCACTGTGTCCGAAGTGCAGCAAGTTGTCAATGGGCACTGAGCTTTTGGGTGTATTGTCTGTTTGTGTGCCTGTGTGAGGTTGTTGGATTTTCTGGAGCTGGAGTTACAGACAGTTGTGAGCTTCCATGTGGGTGCTAGGAATTGAACCTGGGTCCTCCAGAAGAGCAGCCATCCCTCCAACCCCAAGTTTTTTGTTGTTGTTGTCGTTTTTGGTTTTTCGATTTTTTTGAGACAGGGTTTCTCTGTGTAGCCCTGGCTGTCCTGGAACTCATAGTGTATACCAGGTTGGCCTCAAATTGGCAGAGACCCACCTGCCTCTGCCTCCCATGTGCTGGGATTAAAGGCGTGTGCCACCATGGCCTGGCTGCCCCAAGTTTTTTTTATTTTTTTATTTATTTTTTTTCTCTTGAGACAGAGTTTCTTGATGTAGCCCTGGCTATCCTGGAATTCATTCTGTAGACCAGGCTAGCCTCAATCTCATAGAGAGTTGCCTGCCAGCAGTAGCAAGTTTTAAACTTTAAATTGATGCTCCCTCCTCCACACATCAAGTGTTGTCAGAATTTACATGGAAACTACTGCAGTTCTCTCTCCTATTACATTTTGATTTCTCTGAGTTGACTCAGATTCAGGTGATATTCCTAGGGCTGAATCCTTTTATTTCTTCAAGAATTAATGAATTTGGGGGTTTTATTTTGTTTGGGACTGTCTCTCGCTGTGTTCTGGACTGGTACTGAACTCATGACAGTTCTCCTGCCTCAGCCTTCCAGAGATTGCACGTGTGAGCCATTACATCCAGCTTCATGTATTTAATAGATATTTGTTGAGCACCTGCCATGTACCAGACACCACTCTGACTGCTGATCTTTGGTCCTCTCAGTGGTCTTTCAGCGGTAGCTGGGCAGGCAAGGTTGGGTCAAACCGCCAGAGCAGCTCCCGTTTGGCTAGCTTTGATATGTAATGCTCAATGTCACTACATCTGTCTGTTCCTCCTCCAGAGCCCACAGATGAGCCCGTCTCGAATCTGGATAGAACCAGAACAAACTGCTGGGGTGGGCACACAACAGAGTCGGAAATACCACATCACAAGTAAGGTGAGTGTGTGCTCTGCTGTAGCCTGGCTTATGTGAGTGTGTCCTCTGCTATAGCCTGGCTTACGTGAGTGTACAGTGAGTGTGTCCTCTGCTGTAGCCTGGCTTACGTGAGTGTGTCCTCTGCTGTAGCCTGGCTTATGTGAGTGTGTCCTCTGCTGTAGCCTGGCTTACGTGAGTGTACAGTGAGTGTGTCCTCTGCTGTAGCCTGGCTTATGTGAGTGTGTCCTCTGCTGTAGCCTAGCTTACGTGAGTGTACAGTGAGTGTGTGCTCTGCTGTAGCCTGGCTTACGTGAGTGTACAGTGAGTGTGTCCTCTGCTGTAGCCTGGCTTACGTGAGTGTGTCCTCTGCTGTAGCCTGGCTTACGTGAGTGTACAGTGAGTGTGTGCTCTGCTGTAGCCTGGCTTACGTGAGTGTACAGTGAGTGTGTCCTCTGCTGTAGCCTGGCTTATGTGAGTGTGTCCTCTGCTGTAGCCTGGCTTATGTGAGTGTGTCCTCTGCTGTAGCCTGGCTTATGTGAGTGTGTCCTCTGCTGTAGCCTGGCTTATGTGAGTGTGTCCTCTGCTGTAGCCTGGCTTATGTGAGTGTGTCCTCTGCTGTAGCCTGGCTTACGTGAGTGTACAGTGAGTGTGTGCTCTGCTGTAGCCTGGCTTACGTGAGTGTACAGTGAGTGTGTCCTCTGCTGTAGCCTGGCTTATGTGACTGGAAGGTGAGGTTCGGGGGTTTGAAGGGATTTTCTGAAGTTTACAGAGGGTGGTAAGTGACAAGCTAGTTGACTGTGAAGCCTAGCTTGTGAGCTTGTATTCTGCTTCTTCCACTGTAGGCCCTTGTCTAGAAATTAAAAATTGTTTTAGAGAAAAACAATTTTTATGGACCTTGTACAGGTTTAAGACAGTCATAAACCGTGCAAGGATTTCTTATTGGATGGAATAGCTACCTTTCCTTATTGAGGCACTGGAGCAGAGTTTCCTGGGATTTTTTTTCCCCTTTCCTTCCTCCTTTCTCTGTCCTTTCTCCCCCCTTTCTCTTCTTTCTTTCCTTGTCCCCTCCCCTCATTCCCTTCCCCCACCCCTATCCCGTTCCCTTCTGTTTTACCTGCCTGTATGTCTGTGTACCATGTGTGAGCCTGGTGCTCTCAGAGGACAGAAGGCATCAGATCCCTTAGAGCTAGAGTTACAGACAGTTGTTAGCTTTAGTGGGGGTGCTGGGATTGACCCACGTCCTCTGGAAGAGCAGCCAGGGTAGCCTCTGGGCCATCTCACTCTTTCTCATGTCTCCTTTACTCTTAATGCCTCTAGTCCAACCTTTCCTAGTCACGGGACCACAGGTATGTGGTTACTGAGATGGGTGTGTCCTGCTTTATGTCTGTTAGGTACCTGCGTACCTAGGTGAGGGCTCTGAGTCTGGCTCAGTGAGGGAGCACTTGCCTAGCTTGTGTGAATCCCTGGGTTTGATCTCTAGGACTGAACTAAAACAGAACAGGACACTCAAAGCAAGCAAGAAAGCAAGCAAAGTCCCCAAAATCATTAAAAAGAAATCAAGAGATCAGGCAGAAAAAAAAAAATCAAAGTAAAAAGAAATATAAGCCATAAAAATGTCCTTAGAATGAATAAATAACAGCATTCTGTTTAGAAAATTTCTTGTAACTAATTTTGACTTTTTTCTCTTTGGTTAAGTAGCTTCCTACTACCCAAGATTTCCCGAAGCCTGTTGAGGAGAAGGTTGGTCCCTTCACGAAGATAATAGAAGCCATGGGGTTCACTGGACCTTTGAAGTACAGTAAATGGGTAAAGACTTCTATGTTCCTTTGGGTCTGTGTCCTTCCTGTGGCTCACAGATTTATTTTAAAGCTTCTGCTTTGAGAAATTCATACATTCTTTTGAGAATTTCTTCAGAATGCATCCATCCCTCTACCCTCTAGTCAGATTTATGTATAGGTAAGACCAAAGTACTCCTTCAGCCCAATTCCTTGGAAGTGTCTGTAGTTGTTGTCAGGGCAACGAGGCAGAAGTTTTCAGGCCCTTGCTTTATGACATGGGAAAATCATCTAGATGAGTTTAAAGGGCAATCCGGTGGGGCGCATTCCAAGACAGGGTTTCTCTGTGTAGCCCTGGCTCTCCTGGAACTCACTCTGGTGGGCCAGGCTGGCCTCGAGCTCACAGAGATCCCTATGCTTCTGCCCCACAACGTGTTGGAATTGCAGGAGTGCAACATTGCCTGGCTACATTTGCTTTCTAAAGTTAGTTCATTTTTTCAGCAATTTTCATAACAGCAAACACAGGTTTCTGTCTGCAAGCTTTTGTACACAGATTCTGAGATGTCCCCATGATTGCACACTTTGTTGATAAAAGCTTTCCAGTATACGAAGAGGCTACAAATGCTAAGTGATCCTGCAGTCTCTCCTAAATCTTCAAGGAAATAGTTATTTTGGTTAAAGTTTTTTTTTTTTTTAATGTGTGTAAAATTCTTAACAGTTGATGATTTGTTGATATATTTGATTACTAACTAGACCCTTTCTCTCTGTCTTAAATTTTAGTTTTTTTTTTCTATTGAGACATGACATCATCCTGTCGCCCAGGCTGTCCTAGGACCCATAGCAGTCCTCAGCCTCAGCTCCCCAGTTGTTGGGATTATAGGTGTAAACTATCCTGCCTAGATGTTCCTCCATATATTTTTTATTGTTTTTTTTTTTCCTGGCAGCGTTTCTCTTTGTAGTCCTGACTGTCTTGGAAGTAGCTCTTTAGACCAGGCTGTTCTCAAACTCAGAGATCTACCTGCCTCTGCCTCCCAAGTACTGGAATTAAAGGTGTGCGCCACCACCTCTGGCCCATTTATAATTTTTAAAATTACATTTATTTGTACGTGCATGTGTTCATGTGTGTGTGTGTGTGCATGTGCGCATGAGCATGTGTGTATATATACAGCTGCATGTGTGCCCTGGAGAATTACGGAGGTCATAAGACAGTCCTCTCCTTCCACCGTGTGGGTCCTGGGCATAGATCAGAAATCTTGGTGGCAAACGCCTTTATTCTCTGAGCCATCTTGTTGGCCCTCCCCTCTATTGAAAAAGAAGTTGTGATTATGACATTTGTAATATAAAAAAATATGTGTTGTTTGAAAGTAGAAATTAAGTCAGGAGTGGTGACACATGCCTTTAATCTAAATGGATCTCTGTGAGTTCTAGACAAAAATGGCCTCAAACTCAGAGATCCTCCTCCCTCTGCCTCCCCAAGGGCTGGGAATAAAGGCGTGCGCTCCTCTGCCTGTCCGCTCACCCCCAAAAGAAAAAATGAAGAGTGCAGTGGAAGCAGGAAAGAATAGAGGGAAAGTAGCTGTGTTATTCATCTCTTAGTGATTGGGTTCCGCTTGGTTGCTTCCATATGCTTTGTCTAGTCTTATGTTTTTCTTCTGTTTTTAAATGATTCCAGAGGGCAAATTGGCCACCATTTGAAGGATTATGAGACCAGTGAGAGAATTCTTACTTTTAGAGCTGAGTTAACTTCTGATTTTTCTTGGTTCTCTTTGTTACCTTAACTAAATGCTTGTATTAAAAAACTCTTTTATGATGTGGCAGTTTTTATAGCCTTTATTTTAAAATCCGTCACATGAAAATATCACATACCAGTATGACATTCTGGTATGATTTTGGTGGGAAAGCATAGTTAGGACCTTCCATTTTAGAAGGCGTATAGGTGAGCCCTTTTTAGCACTGTTAACTCAGAAGTGTGGCCAGACATTTGCGTTGGCTTACACCGGGAAAATGCGTTGTTTGTATTTTCACATGGATTTGGTAAGAGAACAAAATGTTTACATGTCTACTGCTGCTTATGACCTGCCTTCTCTGTATTTTTCTTGAATGTTTTCATATGTAGATTCCTACAGAATCATGTTTAGGTTTTATTGCTGCTAGGATCTAGCTTGGGGTCTTTCTCAGGCTAGTCAATCATAGAGCAGTGTCCCTAGGATATATTTAAGATGTCAAATGTAGCTTTTCCTTACTTAGCTGAGCATTCTGAAATAACATTTTTTCTTTGTTTTGTTTTGTTTGAAGCAGGGTGTTTCTGTGTTGCCCTGACTGGCCTGGAACTTGCTATGTAGATCAGGCTGAACACAGAGATCTGCCTGCCTCTGATTCTCAAGTGTGAAAGTAATTATAGATGTGCCCCACCGTGGCCAGCTCTGAAATAGCCGTTCCCTATTGCTTCTATAGCAGTATCATGTAAGAACTAAAGGGCACTTGAAGAAAACCAGGAATGGTGGCATAGGTCTTTTTTTTTTTTTTTTTTTTGGTTTTTCGAGACAGGGTTTCTCTGTGGCTTTGGAGCCTGTCCTGGAACTAGCTCTGTAGACCAGGCTGGTCTCGAACCATAGGTCTTTAATTCTAGCATTTGTGTGGCAAAGACGGGCAGATCTCTGTGAGTTTGAGGCCAGCCTGGTCTGCATAGATAGTTTTAGACTAGCTTGGGGAACACAGACCTCCCCCCACCAAAAAAAAATAGAAGAATAGTTGAAAGAAATAGAATGCTTAGTATAGAAAGGAGAAGGCACTGTGAGTCTCGCAGTACTGAGGGGCAAATCAACGAAAAATGGATGAAGACGTGTTACCTGCGGTCCTCAGAGTAGTGGGTAATGAAAGTCTTATAGGCAGCCTTACAAGGTTGTTTTTGTTTGAATAGGGGCTCAGTTTGTTGAACATGAATCAAGAATGTCATAAAGAGAATTCCAGCACAGAATAGGAAGGAGGTTCAAGTGACCAAAAAAAAAAAAAAATTCCTGTGCAGCTCAACAGCCCTCAGCGCAGTCTTCTCCCTCCGTCCACTCCTCATCTTGCAGGAGGGTACACATGACCCAGCAGGTGGGAGAGCAGGCCTAGGTGTTCCTGTCATAGCCAAGTAACATGGCAAGGTCTTCTTAAGCGAGAGTGAAATAAACATGAAGCCATCCAAGGACCGGAACAGCTTGTATTGACCGAGTGGAAATTTAGTCTGCCTCCTTCCCTCACTCGCATTAGCGCGGTTCTCAAAGAGCGTCTTTCCAGCTGTTATTTCCAGTCCCTACATGATAGTCCTCAGGGACTGGCTTCAGAGATTTGTCCAGGAAAGTGGCTCACCCAAGAATAAAGGTTTGGCTTTGCTACAAGAAAAGCGAAGACCTGTAAAATGTTTCTGATTGCCACGGTGTGAGCATTGTGTGGTGATGCTGGCTAGTCTGGTCAAGCAGCCATTATTTGTAATAAGTGCTTTTGCATGGATGTGTTTGGAGCCCTGGGCCTGGAGACAAGGCTGCCTTTCCTAGGGCAGAATGATGAGTTGTGACCTGAGAGGAGTTCATACAGAAGATCCAGAAGGGAACTACAAGCGTGGTGGGAGAGGCAAAAATTAAGTAACTAGGAATTTTAGTAAAAATTAGTAAAATTGAACTTGGTTTTTTTTTTTTTGTTTCTTTTTTTTCTTTCTTTCTTTCTCTCTCTCTCTCTCTCTTGTAGACAAGGGTGACCTTGAACTCATAGAAATCCACTGCCTCTGCTGGGAATAATGGTGTGTGCTGACAGGCTTGGCTGAATCATAGTTCTTGATGCACTTTGAAAGGCAGCTCCTCCTCTCTCCTCTCTTCTGCAATTTGGCAGTATTGGGTTTAACTTTGCATTTCTGCATAAATCTCTTTGATTGTGCTGTTTTGTATCTGAACTCTTGATGGGCTCTATTGTTTTTTATTTTGGAGATAGGATATCATGTAGATAAATTTGAACTTCTGATCCATCTCAGCCTCCCAAGTGCTGGACATTCAAGTATGAGCCAGCATACCTGTTTAATTTTTCTCTTTGTTTTGCTTTTGTTTCTCTTATTTTTGTTATGTATATAAATACTCACCTGTCTGTGTGTATGATTGTGTTTCTGTGCACCACTTGTGTGCCTGGTGCCTGTGGAGGCCAGAAGAGGGCATTGGATACCCTGGAACTGGAGTTACAGGTGGTTGTGAGCCTCCATGTGGGTGCTGGGAATTGAACCTGGGTCCTTTGCAGGAGCAGCCAGTGCTCTTAATTGCTGAGCCATCTCTCCAGCCCCTGTTTTAGTTATTTTCTTTTTGTTTGTTTGTTTTGCTTTGTTTTTGAGACTGCTTCTCACACTGTAGTCCAGACTGGCTTGGAACCTGCTCTGTAGATAAGACTGACCTTGAACTCTTTGAGAGCTGGGAAGGTGTGGGCCACTGTTCAGCTTGCCCTGTCATTTTAAGAAAGAAAAAGAAACCTGTATAAGTTTTTTTGTTGATAAACTGGTTTATTTAGCTTTGAAAGTCATTCATGCACCTGTTCTTCAGACTAAGTTAACTCTTTAAGAAGTGGTTTTTAAGCCAGGCGGTGGTGGCGCATACCTTTAATCCCAGCACTTGGGAGGCAGAGGCAGGTGGATCTCTGTGAGTTCGAGACCACCCTGGTGTACAAGAGCTAGTTCCAGGACAAGCAACAGAGAAACCCTTTCTTGAAAAAAACCAAACCAAACCAAAACAAAACAAAACAAAAAAAACCCAAAAAACAAAACAGAAAAGTGCTTTTTTTAGTTTTTAGATATGATCTCAAGACGTAGTTTCCATACACAAAATACAATACGTTAGCACAGAGCTTAGTAACAGCTCCACTCACTAAGATCACAATTAAACACAATACGTTAGCACAGAGCTTAGTAACAGCTCCACTCATTAAGATCCGAGGGAATTAAAACTTTTCTTTTAAAAGCTTGATTTATTCTTATGTGTATGAACATTTTGCTTGTGTGTATGTATGTATATGTACCACATGAATGCCTGTTGCCTCTGGAGGCCAGAATAGGACATCGGATCTCCTGGACGGGAATTACTGAGGACTGTGAACCTCAGTGTGGGTGATGGTCCTATGCAAGAGCAGAGTAGTGAGTGCTCTTAACCGCTGAGCCTTTTCCAGCCCACGAAGAAATTCCATAATACTGTAGGCTGAGTACTTCATTTTAATGCTTTGAGGCATAGTGGAAGTCTTTCATATTTATTAGAGAATTTTGTTTGTGTACACAGATTCTGTGAGTCTGAAGAAAATACATGCTCCCCTCCCCCACAATCATAGACTAATTAGTAGAACCCCTCAGCAAAAATTAAAGGATTTCAGGGGCTTAAAATTTTTCAAGTTTTATTTATTTATTTTTAAAGGTAGAGATGGGGAGCTGAACTACAAAGCCAGTTCCCAGTTAACATGGGCTGCTTGAGGTCTTGTCCCCAAAACAAAATAAAGTACCCTGCCCGCAGATAGGTTTGTACCCCTCCTGCTAGCTCAAGAACCATGAGATCTGCATGCAGTCCATATGTAACGATGCTAGCACATCCTCTTGGTCCTGTCTTGAGTTTGGTTTTGTTCTCTTTGTCTAGAAGATTAAGATTGCAGCCCTACGCATGTACACGAGCTGTGTGGAGAAGACGGACTTCGAGGAGTTCTTTCTGAGTAAGTGACTCTCAGCTTTTCTGTTCATTTTTGTGCCTGTGTGTTTTAAGTTTTTTTAAACATTTGTTTTGTGTGGGTATGTTGTACATGTTTATCCATGTGTGTATAGCGCAGAGGTCTACCGTGCAGTTATCCCCTGAAACACTGTCTACCTCCTTTGAGACAGGGCCCTTTATTGGCTTGGAGCTCTCTAGTTAGGCCACACTTGATGATTGGTGAGCTCCAGTGAGCCTCCTGTCTCTGCCTCCCCATCGCTGGGATCACAAGCACAGGCCACTGAACCCCGTATTTTTATATAGGTTCTAGGGATCATGCTTGCATGGCAAGCACTTCACAGACTGAGTCACCTCCCAGCCCTTGAGATATTCTCTCCTGGCTGTGCACCTAAGGGTGACCTTGCATTCTTGATCCTCTGTCTGTCTCTGAAGGGCTGGGTTTACAGGCTTGTGTTACTGTGCCCTCTCTTAGCATTTTGACATGGACTTTTTGTCAGTCGTTTCTATTTTGACTGTTTTAGTTAATATTGAAATAAATTTCACGATTTGTAGTCTGACTTTTCCTTCGGGTTGCCAGTTCACTTATTAATTATGAAAACTTAGGCTTGTCTCACTAGCTCTTATAACTTAAATTAACTTATATTTTTAATTAATCTATGTTCTACCACATGAGTTTTACCTCTCTCCCATTCTGTGTGTCTGATTGATTCAGCATCTCGATTATCTCCTCTTCATCTCTCTGCCCAGAAGTCCCACCTATACCACCTGCCTAGCTATTGGTTGATTAGCTTTTTATTACACCAGTCATAGCAACACTTCTTCACACGTGTACAAATATTCCACAACTGTGATTCTTTTTTATTAGAGGGCTGTTGGTCTCAAAAGTTTATACGATTTTATTACTTACAGCCCATTGATAAATTGTTTTCCAGAAGGATTTTACTGTAAATTATAATTATTAATTAGCATGGTTAGCTAAAATAAGTATTTGTAAGGTCATTGGAAAAATAAGTCCCCAGACTGTAGAAGGGAACCTGCACTATGGGCACTTACAGCAACAGCTGTCCCCTTAAAGAGCCTGGCGCCTAACAAGTTCGTATAGCTGATGCTTTCTCTTGCAGCAAATATCTGTACTCAGTGAAGTTAGCAAAGAGCGTTTATTATGCAGTTTTGATTTCTTAATAACTATTTTGGTCACTTAAAACTCAAATATAAGTTGTTTTGGCTACTTCACTATTTCAGCATATTAATATTAGGGACTTAAAATGCTATACTGAGTTATAATTCTAATTTATTTTTTATTTTCTATTTTCTTTTTCTTTTTTTTAAAGATTTATTTATTTATTTATCAATCATGTATACAGTATTTTGCCTCCATGTACACCTGCAGAACAAAAGAGGGCACCAGATCGCATTACAGGTGGTTGCTGGGAATTGAACTCAGGACCTCTGGAAGAGCAGTCAGTGCTCTTAACCTCTGAGCCATCTCTCCAGTCCCTATTTTCTATTTTCTTGTTCATCAGAAAAGACAGTTTCCCTGCTTCTTTGTAAACAAGGAATTCTTTTATTATTTAATTAAAAACATTTATTGCTGTAATGTATGTGTGTGTGTGTTTGCACATATGTATAAGCATATATACCGTGGGGCCCATGTAGAGGTCAGAGGTCAACTTATGAATGCTAGTTCTCTCTACCATGTGGGTTCTGGGATCATATTCAGGTTGTCAGGTTGGTGGCAAACATCTTATCTCCTGAGCCATCTTGCCAGTCCAAAACTATTCCTTATCATACAAGAAATTAGTCCAAAATAAAAAAATACTTTCTTCAAACAATAAAGAAATATTGAGTTTCTTTCTTAAATCCATGTACATCTCACCCTGCCCTTCTTATTTTATTAGTTTACTTGATTTTTTTAGTATAATTTTAATTTAGGAAGTAACATTAAAAAACAACCTCCCCAAACAGGCAAACATGCAAACAAAGAGCGGTATCTGGAGCTGGAGAGATGCTCAGAAATTCAGAGCACCGGCTGTTCCTCCAGAGGACCTAAGTTTGGTTCGCAGCAGTCACATGATGGCTCCCAATCGTTTGTAACTCCAATTCTGGCCTTTGTGTGCATAGCACGCGTGTGATACATAGACATACATGTAGGTAAAACACCCATGCATGTAAAACAAAAACAGTCTGAAAAACAAACACACTAAATTAACATGTCCACCTTATCTTGTTGTCTATGCTTACAGTTCCAGGGATCTTACAGATGAGAATAATGGTCTTCTCCACCATATCTTCTCATAGAAGCCTTATCCTCAAGGCTAGGGAGATGGCTCGGGGAGTAAGATCCCTTGCTGTGCAAGCATAAGGGCCTGAGTTTGAATCGGCACCCATTGGAAAAACTGTGCATGGCCCCTTGTCAGGAGTGGAGGAAACCCTGAGTGAGTGAAGTTCTCAGGGAATGTGTGTCGTTGAGATGGGCACGGCCATGTTAAGGACCTCGTAGTCTCAGACTGATGGGAAGATGACAAAGCCTCATAGGATGAGGCTCAGGGGAGTGGCAGAGCTTTCCTTGGGGGTCCAAGTGTAAGTGTTAACATTGTGTGTAGAAAATGTCCGCCATATCTTCCTTAATGGCTGCTCCGATGCAGACACTATTCCCACTATAATTAGCCACTCTTGCCTTAAACTCTACTTCCTTGTTCCGCTGTACGCTGTAACCCGTCTCTGCTAAATCTATGTAATAAGCAAGCTGGGCTATTGGAGTGTTGTGATCTCTCTAAGACTCCAGTCCAACTGAACTCAGCATTTTTGTCTGTGTCCATGTGTCTGTCTTTTCTTCATTATTTCACTACCCCCCAGACAGGTCAAGTCCCTTGGGCCATGCAAGGATGCAGTAGCCAGGGAAGCCTGTAAGCTCGGCACTGGGGGAGGGAGATGACAACTTGTAGATCCTGGGAGCTTGCTGGTCATTCAGAATAGTGAGCTCTCCCTGTCAAAGGAATAAGGTAGAGAGCCATAGGGGAAGACACTTGATAGTCTCTGTGCTGTGGGATAACCCTTCTGTACTCTGGATATATGTTGCTTCCATTAGTTGATAATAACTCTCTGGCCTATAGCAAGGTAGAATATAGCTAGATGGGAAAGCCAAACTGAATACAGGGAAAAAGAAAGAAGCAAGATGCCATCAGACCAGTAAAAGCCATGATCATGTGGCAATGCATAGGTTAATAGAAATGGGTTAATTTGAATGTAAGATGTAGTTATAATAGCCCTGAACTATAGGCCAAGAAGTTTATAGTTAATATTAAGCCTCTGAGTGATTATTTAGAAATGGTTGCGGGGCAGGACTAGACAGAGAAACCCCTGTTTACACTTCTGCACTCTGTATGCACATGTATGTGTACACTCAAACACTCATGTGCATATACCATACACATAAATATAACATACACACAAAAGAAAAAACTAAAGTTTATCATCAGATATTTAATACTTGGTTCATATTTATTATAATTATTTTACATGAATGCTTACTTGTTTTCACTCATTAAAGGTTCCTCTTTTTTAAAGTTTTAGTTTATATGTATGAGTGTTTGATATGTATGTGTGTATGTGTACCACATGCAGTCTGTGCCCACAGAGGCCAGAAGGGGCATTGGAAACCTTAGAACTGCAGTTCCAAACAGTTGTGAGCTGCCCTGTGGGTGCTGGGAACGTGAGTCTTCTGTAAGAGCAGTAAAGCTTTTAACCGCTGACACATCTCTCTAGGCCCCTACTGTTGCTGGATTTTCTTTCACTCTAATCCCATTTGGAAAGCCAAAACGTTGCTGTTTTTTTCCCTCCTTACTCTTTTGGCTCTTTTGTGGGGGCCGCCACCCAGCTCCCAAATAAATTGCACACGGAGGCTTATTCTTAGTTATAAATGCCCAGCCTTAGCTTGACTTCTTTCTTGCCAGCTTTTCTTAACTTAAATTATCTCGACTCCTCTGGGCTTTTTTCTTTTCTTACTGCTGTATATCTTTACTCTTACTTGTTGACTGGCTGGGGGGCTGGGGAGCAGTTGGGGGGCTGGGGACTGGGGGCTGGCCTCTGATGTCCTTCTCTTTCTTGCCAGATTTCTCATTCTGTTTATTCTGTCTGCCAGCCCTGCCTATCCTTTCTCCTGCCTTGCGTTTGTCCATTCAGCTCTTTATTAGACCATTAGGTATTTTAGACAGGCAAAGAATCACAGAATTAAACAAATGTAGCATAAAAGAATGCAACACATCTTTGCATCATTAAACAAATGTTTCACAGCATAAACAAATGTAACACATCTAAAAATAATATTTCTCAACATCCTGCTGAAGGTTCTTGAGTTTTATTAATACTATACATTCAAGTTAAAGACTGTTATTATGCTGGGCAGTGGTGGCACATGCTTTTAATCCCAGTCCTTGAGAGGCAGAAACAGGCGAATCTCTGTGAGTTCGAGGCCACCTTGGCCTACATAGCAAGTTCCAGGACAGCCAGGGCTACGTAGAGAAACCCTGTCTCAAAAAACAAAACAAAAAAGACTGTTATTACATAGATAGTTAATATGAATATATTTCAAGCATAGCTTGCAGATTACCAATTTAAGAAAAACTTCAGAAAGTTATAATTACATATTGTTAACGCACATTTGTTGTCTGTCATGTTTGTCCCCTTTAGGAATTTCACAGTCTTGTGGGATAGTAAGTGCTTGTATTATTGTTTATTTTTGTTTTGTGTTTAGGAACAGTTGAGGCTTAGAGCATCTCAGTGACTTGCCCGAGGTTGCCTGGCCAAGCCCGGCACCTGTGTTGTCTGGCTTACACCTCTGGGGTTTTCCCACTGTAGCATGCTTTGTGCGAGGGAACGTAACCACAGACTGGGAACTGTAATGCAGCTTTATAACTCGGATTTATTTTATTTTGATGAGAGTTCCCTTTGTGAGGTGTTGTGTTAGTATTGGACAATGATGTTTATACATATCTTGGTGAGTTTTTCCCGACTTTGTCCTTCAGGAAAAGGGGCAGTGAGTTTTCTAGTGATCACACTCTCCCTTTAGATTTTCTTTTTTTAAAATATATATATATTTTAAATATATATATATATATTATGTTTACAATATTCCGTCTGTGTGTATGCCTGCAGGTCAGAAGAGGGCACCAGACCCCATTACAGATGGTTGTGAGCCACCATGTGGTTGCTGGGAATTGAACTCGGGACCTTTGGAATAGCAGGCAATGCTCTTAACCTCTGAGCCATCTCTCCAGCCCCTCCCTTTAGATTTTTTAAGACTTAATTAAGCAGTTGCCTATTAAAACCTATGGCACAGGCCAGGCGTGTTAGCACTTGGGAGGCAGAGACGGGCAGATCTCTGAGTTCAGGCCAGTCTGTTCCACATAGCGAGCTCCAGGCCAGCCAAGACTGCATAAAAAGACCATCTTTCAAAACAAAAAACACCATAAAGACCGATAGCTAAGCTGGCATAGGGGCACATGCCTGTAATTCCAGTACTCAGAAGACAGGGGCATGAGGATTGCTGTAAACTTAAGGTAAACTTGTTCTATACACTGAGTAGGCTAGCCAGGCCTATGTTGTGAAACCCTGTCACAAACAAACCAACCTATGTTTTTTAATTTTATTTGTTCTGCTGTGGCTCTTTATCTTTCTTTTTTGGGGGGGCTAGGTTTACATCTTAGAATTAAACCAAAGTGGCTAGTGAACAAAGAGCAGGTTTGGAAAGTACCATTTGGAGGCAAGAGATTAAAAAAATATCTGTACGATAATGAGGCTGACTTTCTTGTGGTTTGTATTCTAAGGAGGTTAGTGGGGACTGGAGTAAAATGAGGGAATTTATGTATTGCTTCCTAAGATTATACCTTAAAGTGGCCGGGCCATTTAGATCTTTGGTATAGGTCTTGATTGTGAGAGTCCTGAGGACAGAAAGCGTGGACGTCTGGTGCCATGTTTCCCCAGCGAAAGGAGGCTGATGGCGCTTCTCGACCACCGTGTGTGAGCGAGTTGTTGGGTCACAGCATGCTGGGCCTTCAGCTTCTTGGACAGTCCTCCCTAAGCTGCCAGGCATAGGCCCGAGTCACCTCAGAGCCAGCGTGTTTAAGGCTGAGATCTAGAACTCTCGGTGCTTCTGTGTGGCCAGACACTTTGGCAGCTGCTGTTTCTGGCATGCTCTGGTAATACCCTTGCCTGTCGTAATGAACATGGCTGCATTCTCGTCTGTGACTCTTTTTCCCTCTAAGACACTGATTATTTGGAGAGGAGGGGCTCCTTAAGGAAGAAATTCGGAGTCAGTAGTTGAGGTTTCTACTTTGTGACACAATTTTAACTGATGATGTTTTTCAAAGATAATTCGGATCCTCTTATTTGATTCAGTGGAAACAACAATGATGAATATTGAGTTGCTATTTTAAATGGCAATCATTTTGTTTGTTAAGCTTTTTCCCCCAGAGGATCTCACTATCACCATAGCTCTGGTTGGCCTAGAACTCACTATGTCTACGTATGTCGGATGGTTTCTAACTCACAGACATCTACCTTCTTTTGCCTCCCAAGGGCTGGTGCTGAGGCTAAAGTCTTGTCCCACCATACCTGGCTTTACTAAGCTTTTACAGGTCGTTGGTCTCTTGTTTATCATCATAGAAACTCTAAGGTTCTTGTTCTGCTCACTGACATATAGACAGAAGGAGACTGGGCCTCTGAGAAATTCAGAAACTTTACCTAGATCCACTTAAATTAAACTAAATTAATTAAATTAAGTAGTCTGACCTCATATTAAAATATGATAGTAGGACTCTCCGATGACAGTAATGGAATTATTTTGTTTTACTGAACCTGGTGTCAAGAGTCTAGCCTCAGAAAAGAATATGCTGCGTGTGTATTGGAGCAAGAGTGTGATCATGACGGAGTGTCCCAGGGTTTAGCCCTGCAGTTTATAAACACATTTCGTTGAGCTAAGAATTGTATTTTTGTGTTGCTCATAGTCAACATTCAGTCGCTGGTTTGATATTTTTGAGGTTTACTCTGTGGGTTTCTGTTCTGACCTCCGTGGGCACAGGGACTTGCTCATGTGCCAGCTCTTTTCTCATCAGCCCTGAGCTGACCCCCAGAAGAGAAAACTGTGACCCAGGGCCAGCTGCTGACCTGTTTGTCTGTGCTTTCCAGCCCAAGAACTGGTTCCACCTCTGAGGAAACTGGACAGGCTCCTGGAGGCTGCTGGGAATCTTTGATGTAGAGGTGCAGTTGGGCAGCCTGTCCTGCTGAAGCAGCCAGATTTCATTCTCCAGACTGAAAGACAGACTTCCAAGAAAACTTTTTTTTTAAATGTTTTGTTGTAACATTCAAAAAAAGACCCAACTTGAGATCTGGGCTTGAGAGTTTCTCGGGGCTATTCTTGTTCTAGACAGGGAGCAGCTGGCTCGTTCTCAGATGGCATTGGTCTTAATAGCTGGATGGCTGGTGAGGCCAGCCTCCAGCTCCCTCCTGCTGGGCTCAGAGAGGAAGTCCACTTGACAGCTGCTAGGCACCACCCAGTAAGCTCACCCGAGTTTTTTGGTGTCCTTTGTGACAGACCTGGATTCAAACCCCAGCCTTGCCACTGGTTTAACGTGGTGGCTTGCCCGTGGTTACTTGACCTTTTTGACTCTCCCTCGTTACCCCTAGAGTAGGCGCTAGTGCTTCTTTCCCAGAGAAAGTAAGGGTTGGGAGGAATACTGTATTAAGATGATTAGCGGTAGGCCAGGCGTGGAGCACAGCCCTTTCTCAGAGTGTCCACATCTTAGCATTAGAGAGGTACTGAAGTAGCAGTCCGCCCGCTGCACAGAGAATCAAGAAAGTCTGAATTTAATCCCATGTGTCTCGTTCTTAGTGTTGTGGTTTTGGAGCCTGAGCAATTGTCTTGATGACACTGTCAGTTAGGGATATATGAATACCAACCTACTAGGGTTGTTGGACAGATGCACTGAGCTAATGGCTGTGAAGCACTTGTTATATCTGGTGTGTTAGGAGCCCAGCTAGGGCTCCCTTATTAGTGTGGGTTATAGTTTCCTGGGGTCCTGCCGTGGGTTTTCACTCCTAGTGATTGTCATTGTTAACCATTACCTCCCTGAATGTTGATTGGCAGGGGATACTTTTGAGTTTTTTGTTTTGCATGCAGATTATATATAGCCCTCGCTAGCTTGGATTTTGCAACCCTGCTGCCTCACAAGATCATGGGATGTGTGTTGGAATCTAGGCAGGTGCTACCATGCCTTAATTCTTCGTTTTGAGTCATTGCTCCAAAAGATTGGTCCTACCATAAGGGCTTATGCTCCCCACTAATTTTCTCCCTTTTATCCTTCCTACTCCTTGTCAAACTTTTCTCTTTGTCATGTGATAAGGAGGGTACACGTAGTGGGGATCCCTCAGCCAACTGAAGGATTTTGTAGAAATCTGAGAATGGAGAGGCATGGATGTCTGAGCTGAGATCTGATGTTCAGGATCTGAAATTAAGAGGTCCTGTTCAGTGAGTGTTGTCCCTGTAACCAAGGACTGGCCTTTCAGTGGGTGCAGCTCACTTCCTGATTCAGCCCTAGCTCCTAAGAGTTCTACTTTTATCCCTCCTGGTTATTTGAGTAGATCATTTGGCACACTCATGGCCATACCACAGTGGCTTGTCTTTTAAAAAATTGGAAAATAACCGGGCAGTGGTGGCACACACCTTTAATCCCAGCACTTGGGAGGCAGAAGCAGCTGGATCTCTGTGAGTCTGAGGCCAACCTGATCTACAGAGCAAGTTCCAGAGACAGTCAGGGCTACACAGAGAAACCCTGTCTCAAAAAACAAAATCCGACAGACAAACAAAAATTGGAAAGGGAGACCAGAAGGGCTTAACCTTTTCAGTTGGGCTCAGTTGGTGCTGAGGGAGCAGGGGAGCTGTATTCACTTAGCTCTTTATATACTTCAAGCCTAGAAAGGGAAACTAGCTTAGAGCCATAAGAAATCATCTCTGCCACATTCTGTAAAATGAGAGAGAGAGAGAGAGAGAGAGAGAGAGAGAGAGAGAGAGGGAGATTTGAGACTCAGAGGGAAGGCGCAGTTTGCCCAAGACTGGAATTGGAAGGTTGTCTGGCTGCGTGCTCTAGCCCATGGTCTTCCATTGTGCTTTTGCTGATCTTTTCTGCAAAGCATAGTCAGGAATATTGTACCGCCTTTCATTTTAGTTGACAGATTCCCACCAGGGGCTAACACAGCGTGCCTCTTCTATACCTTCTCGTATTTACACTTTATTGTCATTTTCTAGGGTGTCAGATGCCTGATACATTCAACTCATGGTTTCTTATAACCCTGCTTCACGTCTGGTAAGTGAGCCATTTTAAGTGAGGTCACCAAATGCCTGTGTGTGTGTGTGTGTGTGTGTATGTGTGTGTGCACGTGCGTTGTAAGGCACAGATGTCCTCAGGTCTGAGTCTATGACGTCACACTTGTTCAAGCATGAAAACCTGCTCCTTTCATTTTCATAACTGGTGCCTTGAAGCATATTTTTATTAAAGGTCAAAGCATAAACCCAAAAAGAAACTAATATTTGTAATATATTTTTTTTCAAAGAACACGTAACCCCAGGAATAATACACTATCAGTATCTCTAAGAGACTCTCTGAGGTAGGGTGGAAAGTTTTCTCCCTTGGCTGTTTTAGGAAAGTTCACGTTTACGTAAAAGTGGTTTGAATTGTGAGACTCCGTGGTCATTTCCATCTCTGGTCATTAGAAACCTATAACAAATTATACCACTGACATTTATGCCTGTGCCTCTAAGTGTGCGCACAGGTTAGAGTCAAGCCAGATTTGTTGCATGTGGAAATATTTAACACCTTAAACAGTATATTTTTTCTTCAGTGTAAAGCAGCCTAAAAAAAAATCCATTTTTCATCCACTCTTACACAGCATTAAAGGTCAAAGGGAATCTAGGGATCGCTGAAGTGGGGGTGGGCGAGCTACCGGGTCTGGAGAAAGTCAACTCCAGAGAAGTGGGTTCACTACGTGGGAATGGCTGTCTGTCAAAGGGCCCTTGTTTGAGACTGTCTTTAGCTGAGCTTACATCACAGACCTGGCTATTATATAAAGATGTTTTAGTTATGATCACCTCTGAAGCGTTTCTTCTTCCAAATTCACATCGTCACTGCGCTTGGCTAAGGAGCCTGAAGGGGCAGTTTATTTTATGGATTTTTTTTTTAAACCCTCTAAACCAGTAGTTTATAGATGGCACACTGTGTCCTGGGCCTCTGCTGGGAACTAGGGCTAGTTCTCAAGAAGCCTCGTTTTAGTGAGGGAGATAGGACTCATAAATGGGCAGTTACAAACGGGGCTCCTAAGTTCTGGGACAATGTAAACGATGCCTACAGGACTGAAGAGGGCGCTGCAAGCGTTATCCCTTCCTAACTCTGTACTCTGAGATACATACCATGGCTCCTTGTCAGGCAGCTAAGAAGGCACACTGTCTGCCTCTGGTGTCCATGGTGGGGGTGCAGAGAGGGAAACTGGATACGCTGAGAGGGAAAGTACTTTTTTAAGAGCTGAGGACTGTATGGGAGAATTGTTCATTGGAAAGGTGGGAGGGTTGAGAGACAGCGAAGCTGTTCCCAGAGGAGCTCAAAGGTAATATTCAGAGCCTGTATGAAAGACTCGTTATTGCCCGTAGAGCTGGAGGCATCAGAGTGGTAGAGAGAGTGGACGGCAACATGAAATATCTAATCCCTGTGACCACATCCCAAGGTCAGTCCTTGACTAATAGCGGGGAGAGCCTTGAAATTATTTATATTTCTTTAAACTTTCCAAACGTCTACCCGACCTTTCTTGCTGAAGTTAAGTTTTCAGAGGAATGGAGTTTCCCACCAGCAGCTAAGTGAGGAGTGGGGTGTACCACCACCAGCTAGGTAGAAAATGGGGACCATCTATTCTTTGTCTTTATCTAGTCTCTTCCTTGCTCTTTTTTTTTTTTTTAAAGTTTTTTGAGACAGGGTCTCTCTGTATAGCTTTGGCTATCTTGGAATTTGCTTTGTAGATGTAGGCCAGGCTGGCCTCAAACTCACAGAGATCAACCTGCCTCTGCCTCCTGAGTGCTGGGGGGATTAAAGACATGGGCCACCACTGCCTGGCCCCTTCTGTGCTATAATTGCCATGATCCGTGAAGGGCTCAGCCGCCGCCTTTTTATTGAACCAGTAAATCCTTGTCAAGGACCTACTGTGTGTTCGGGACCATGGGGTACTGGAGAGAAGGCTATGGTACGGTCCACACATTCAAGACATCGTGGTGGAAACGGACTTTTGAGTGCTGTTGTCTGAAACAGATGATGATGAAACGTTTGCCGCAAAGCCCGAAGGGATGCTGTGGAAGCACAAAGGTGGAAGTGAGGATGGCGTAGGGCAGAGGTAACGTTTGAGGGACATCCTGAAGGGAAAGTACATTGAAGGGCAACCGGAGGGAAAGACCACCTACAGAACATCAAGTTCTTGAAAGCAGCCAGTGGCTGAAGTGTTGGGGGGCAGGTTTGTAGAGGAATGTAGTCTGAAGGTCACCAGAAAGGTAGTTATGGGAAATAAAAAGCCAGGTGGTGTCAGCGGCATCATTGTCAAGCACCTTTAATTCCGGTGTTTGGGAGGCAGAGGCAGGCAGATCTCTGTGAGTTCAAGGCCAGCTTGGTCTACAGAGTAAGTTTCAGGACAGCCAGGGCAACACAGAGAAACCTTGTTTACAAAAATAAAAACAAAAAGCAGACAAACAAAAGAAGTAGTTTTGGGCCCAGTTGTGCAGTAATCTTCCCAGAATCAGGAACCCCCTCTCCTAAGGGGTAGAACAGCTGGGAGAGGGACGGATCCACCCCAAGTCTATAGAAAAGTAAGACTCTTCTATCTTCTAGTCCTGTTCTCTCTTCCTGAAGATTCAAGAGTATAAATTGAAGGACAGCCAATCTCAAATTCAGAGAGCACAGTAAGCCGAGCCATTGGAGAAATAAGAATTGAAACAGTTCTTGGAATAAGAACTGTGAAAGAGGAGGGGAGTCACAAAGAAAGACAAAACAAAGCCAGACAGACTCCTAGGACATGAAAGTAGCCTGGGTCCGGGAGGTAATGGATCCTTATTGTAGTTGGGACAGGAACAGGATACTGAACAGTCCTGTGTGTTTACTGATGATGTTATACTTCTGTATGCTCTTTCTGGTGCCATAGTTTCTCGGTGGGTTGAGATTTAAGACTACAGACCCCTCTTTTTCTAGAAGACCTTTGTTAGTTGTCTGTTCAGTGGGCTTGCAGTGGCACTGATCATGTGTCCATTGGCTTTGTTTAACAAGGTCAGTATTGAGTGTAGCTGCTGAAAAAGATGCTGTTGGAGATACCCAGCATCCCGACACGGGCTTAGTAAAGCAGCCCTCCTAATTTAAGTGCAGCCATCCACTGTGAGTCCATTCAGGTTCCTGTACCAGAAACCTGGGAGCTTCTCTTGCTGTGTCCTTCATTTGTTTAACCTGGTCAGTAGTCATTAGTTACTGAGCTCAAACCCTTGACCCTGACCTAACAGAAACAAACGAGTTTTACTTTGTAACCCAGTGTGCATGCTTGTATTGGATGCAAACATTAAATAAATCTTGTCTTTACAATATCAGTAAATATCTGATACTTCTGTTCTATTTGAGCTAATTTTAAACAGAAGTTGAAGGTTTCTGCCGCTGAATTCATTTCATTGCTGGATTCCCACCTCGGCTCTCAAGTTTCTTAGTGTGCTGTTCATGTGCTATGAGATGCAGCCAGCAGTAAAGATGCTTTTACTTCTGTTGTCTGCTGCTCTTCTGTGGAGTCTCAGGTGTTTATCCTTCTTACTGTTGTACAGACTCTTGTTCTTCCCTCCATACCTGATTAAGCCATTATTTTCACCATAAGCCTTTCCTTCCTCTGAAGGCAGTTCTGTGACCCTTTGCTTTTTCTTCCTATTTTAAATTTTTTTTTTTGAGATAGGGTTTCTCTGTAGCTTTGGAGCCTGTCCTGGAACTAGCTCTTGTAGACCAGGCTGGCCTCAAACTCACAGAGATCCGCCTGCCTCTGCCTCCCAAGTGCTGGGATTAAAGGCGTGAACCATCACTGCCCTGCTCACATTTTAAGGTTTTGAAAATTTATGGGTACTTAAACATAAAAATTATACATATTAATGGAGTGCTGTGTAATATTTTGATACATAGATATGTACATTATATAATTTGCATTTGTGCATGTGTTTGTGTCTGTCTGCACGTGCTTTTGTGTGCAGAAGCCAAAAGAGAGTGTTGGATGTCCTGCTTTATTACTCTTTGTCTTAATAATATTATAATAACTGTAGTGGTTTGAAAGAAAATGACTCCCAAGGGAATGGCACTATTAGGAGGTGTGGCTTTGTTGGAGTAGGTGTGGCCTTTTTGGAGAAATGTGTCACTGTGGTGGTGGGCTCTGAGGTCTCATATATGCTCAAGCCACATCCAGTGTCTGAGACCACTTAGTGTTTCTTGCCTATCAAGATGTAGAATCCTCCTGCACCATGTTTGCCTGCACACTGCCGTGATGATAATGGACCAAACCACTGAAACTCTAAGCTTCCACCTCAATTAAATGTTTTCCTTCATGGTGTCTCTTCACAGATATAGAAACACTAACTAAGACAGTACCCAAGCTGGGCGGGTATGGTGCACATCTTTAATCCCAGCACTCTGGAGGCAGAAGTAGGTGGATCTTTGAGTTTGAAGCTAGCCTGGCCTTCAGAGCAATTTCCAGGACAGCCAGGGCTACACAAAGAAACCTTGTCTGTGTAAACAACAACAACAAAAAACCAAACCAATATATGTGTGTGTCTGTCTGTACATGGTGCTAACCTGCTGAGCCATCTCTCTAGTCTCAACCTCTCTCCCTGCCCCCATCATTTTATAATGTTTAAATTAGATTCAAGTTATAAATCTCATCGTTTGTTATTTCATTGTAAATTTTTTTGAACTTCTGTAACTGAGGTCCTCTGCAAGATTGGTATGCACTCTTAATGCCAAACCCTGTGCACGTGCGCACACACACACAGTAAATCTCATCCTCAGCCATACTGTGTAAATGCGTGAGCGGATTGCTACGTAGACTGAAGGATGTGGGAATGACCTGGTCACTCCTTATCTGTATAACATACCTGCAGAAAAGGAACCCAAATGTAGCTTTGTGGTAACCCAGTAGGCAGTTTCAAAAACCTCATATGTAGGTAAACCCCTTGTCTTACACAAGGAGAGGTAGTTTCGGTGATTTTACAACAGGTCACTTCATGTGCCGCATCAGCAGTGAGAATCTGAGACAGACAGAG